GCTCTTCCGTGCTCAATTACACGCATTCTATTTTCGAGTTGAACATAAGACGCGAGCCACTTCGATATTCTGTCCGATTGCCGCTTCGACGCCCGACTCTACATATCCTACTTAAGGAATATTTGACTCGCTTCGTCCATATTGAAATATGTCAGATTCAAATATCTCTAATGATATCGATAATTTGTCATAATCTCTAATGTTCTTAGTAATGTGGTTCGTAGCCCTCGACGATTATTGTATCTGATAACGAGAGCGAGATTATACACGTCGATGATTCAATCGCTAAATGAGTTAAATTACACCTGACCAATACTAATGCATAAAACTCGTTTTATAATTTACAATAAAGATGGGAGGGAAATTGACGCTAATTGATTCTATACAACGAGCGAATGTCAAATGTCAAATGTCAAATATCAAATTGCCAAAGCACCGGCTATTTCCATTTAATTCAATTATAATCATTTATCAATGATTTTCAACATTATTCATATTCATTATGTAATCGATCATTGCATATTACAACGTAACGGCGACGTTTCTTATTCTGTTGCCCCTAATTTGTTCAAGATTTCGGACGAATCTAAATATACGAATCTAAATACGCGAAGACGAGTAGTAGTTGTAAGTGTAGGAGCGCAATCGAAATGCTAAGGATAATAAATCACCCTTGTGGTATTAAAAATAAATTCTTTGAAATTTAAATGCTTTGTTTTGCATTTGTCTGAATTCACGTTGTGAAATTTCATGCGATTGCACATTGATCTTTATAAAGTCGGACGGTATTTCGGTGCTTATTAATTCTGGCTCTCTTAAAATATCTTTAAAATTTATCGATTTAGATGCTCAATTATTAGCCCGACGATCCGTTAATAAAATAAAATAAAGAAATCGATCGATTATTAGGTAATTTTTTTAATAAACTTGCTGTAAGATTGTGCTCAAATATTTCGTTGAAATTTAACGAAAAGGAAGTATTATTGGTCGTGAGCTTTTTGGCTCCAACATTTACTTCGCCTATAATTCAATTACAAATCATAGCATTTTCATAGCAAAGACAAAATTGATATAATATCAGCCAAGATTTCTCTGTTTTCGCACACCGCTTCTTCCACACACGCACGCACACACACGCACACACACACGCGCGCGCGCACGCACGCACACACAAACACCCCTCCCCATTCGCTCCCGTCATTCCCCTCAACCCCCGTCTCCGCGACCCCTCATTACGATCGCAATCGCACGAACGTTTTTGTCTCATTTGACTTTCGCTCTCCAGCCAATTTGTGAAAGCGTCAAAACATCGATCGATCGATCGATCGATCGATCTACATACGTCCGAGATTCATTAAAATTCGTGGGCAGGGTGCGGCTGAACCGAAGTACAATAGCGTAATCGACGGCACGAGCTACCCTCGGGCAATCTTCTATCGATCAGGCAATATAGGCTCCGGGGTGGCGACGTACCTTAAAGTGCTCCAAGTGCTCTTTGGCTCGGTTTTCAGCAGAAATTGCGTGCTTAACTAGCTCTTCCCTGGTGTAGGGCTCGACGTGCTTATGCTCCCAGATCCCTCGTGCCTCTGTCCACGGGAGGGCGGCCTTGAGCGACAGCTTGCTCGATACTTGGCCGCTCTCCTTCCGGTCGAGGTAATCGATCATCGGCTGATAGTAGTTTATACCGTAGCCATAATTGGAGTTGTAAACGGTCGTTGGGAGGTGGTGCCACTTTGTTGGGGCCACCGGCATCTGCGATAGTGGCATCTCCGACATATCGTCGCTCTTGTCGTTATTCACTCGTTTATTCGATAAATGATTCGATTATTCGTCCGCTGGTCTTCTACCTCCTGGAGCGACTAGTTTCGCCGATTTTCCGGATTCCTTCCTTCCTTCCTTCCTTCCTTCCTTCCTTCCTTCCTTACTTACTTCCTAATTCCGGCAACGGAATATTCTCCTTCGCACCGACTCTACACAATCTCTCTCTATCCCCGCCCCGCGACTCTAATCACCAGGGAGAGTAGTTAGAGCCTTCGGGGATCGGCGCAATCGTCGGAGCTCGTCCGATACGCGACGTCCAATCGATTCTGTCGATAGCGAGAGTGTCCGTCCATTATTTGTACACTCGATGTTCCGCGGATTGCGACAGTCGCGATGAACTTGACGAGGGTTCGTCAGCTCAGATCGACGCAATGACGATTGAGTACGATTGACTTTTACATTCGTGTATTAATAGAGAGGGAGCTTAGCCGTTTGCTTCGAGCCTTCGAAGAGTCGCTTGAGTTATCGTAAAGGGGGGCAAGGGTGAATAATTCTAGCCAAACTGGCTTTTCCACTGTCAATAAAATTAGACAGACCTGAGCGTCAATTTGCATCTCGGGTTGAAGTCATTCGAATGAATTTGCTTTTGTGAGTCGCTTATATCGGCGTCATTATTACCATCGAATCTTTACTCAATTTGCAATTATGCGCCTGATAATAGCAAATAATCGCTTTTACATTTTACGATAATGGAATTATGTATATAATTTGCGCGTCGATTTCTTATAAGACGATGCATATAGGTAAGCGCATATGTCACGAGTCATGTCATGCGACTCAGCAATTGCTCCAGCATAGTTCCTTACCTTGGTATCGTAAACATTTAAAATTCAATTTGCACAGCCGTGAAATGTTAAAGTGTGGGACGCAGAAAAGACAATTGTGCAAAATTCAATGACCATCAGGTACAACTAAAGGTTAAATTAGCGTAATTATTAAGATGTAATGTCGAATATTGTTTACGAATAAACGTCATTCAATGTCTCGATTAAGCAAACATCTACTCCAAGTATATATTTATTACAATTCTTATTTGTTTTTTTTTTCGTTTCACATGCGTTTTTCATTTAATGAAAAAGCTGCGCAACAGTTTTTCTTTTTTTTATGATTGATCAACTTATGCAAATCCGCCAATTTATATTTCGAATAATCAGAATTGCATGATACATTATTTTCTGGCATAATGATTAAAAATACTTACTATGCGCGATAATCTCAACGAGTGACAATTATACAATTATAATAATTCCGATGGAGAATTATTATTCTTGTCTCTGAGCGGCAAGCATTAGCTGCGGATTAACTTGATAAATCAGTTTGTTGAATCATTTTCTTCTCTTACTATTAATAGTTTGACTATTTTGACGAGAACACGCATGCGCGTATAAAGCAATTGATCGAGAAAACTGAGAATTACGTCATCAGTTTCATATACACCGTCCATCAGGGATTACTACAAATTTTCCGAAAAGCTGAATAAAGAAAGACTACATTAATATAAAAAATCTACAATAGTCTCGAAGGCGCCGATAATGCTCATTTTCGCTGTACTCTATTCCAATGTGGGACGTAGAAATTATTGAAAAAAAAAAAAAAAATAGAAAATAACCTGATTGAGAGTCTTGATATGAAATTTGTAATTTGTCATTTCAAGCAAATTGAGCATTGCATCGGTAAAGAGATCTTTAAAATCTTTAAGCATCGGTTACACTTATAATAGTCTAAATATTATACATCATTTGCTCTCAAAGACGATCGCTGCGTTAAGTGACGACAGCGCAGTACGAACATTCATGTCTTCATCCGATTTCCAGCCGAGACATGCCGACATACCAGATACCAACTAACCAACTCGCCGGCCATTATTCTTAGTAGGAGAAGTTTTGGAAACAAACGAAGAGTATGCGATGAAAAATGCTGATACTTCAAGGTCGACCGAACGATCAAAGATAAAACGGTAAAAAGTACGCAAACTTACCGGATTGCCTCGATTTCTTCATCCTTCTCGGCGAGGCGTCGCTCGGTCTCATGGCGGAGTTGGCTCAACTCGGCAGATAAGCGTTGCGAACGTTGCTCCTCGATTTTCCGTCCCTATGCAACAGACGAAAAATGCCTTTCTCACAAGTTACTCTTCCGCTCACGATCGATTATGATTATTTATTTCGATCCGTATTGATTATGCGTATTAACACGCCCCGTGTGGGATACCGAGCACAGTCGCGCTGATGCTCGATTTGTCCCTCGAGGTGGCGCTCCGTAAGTTTGTAGTTAGTTGTCTTTAAACGTGTATTTATGAATCTCCATTACGAATTAGGTAAATGCAAAGTTAGCATTGCTCTCGAGCATATTGTTACGAAATTAAAGCTAAATAAGGTTTTTTTTTTTTAATTCGCAGATGAATCTTCGTTTTGACGGATTTGCTTTTCACAATCTATTTTCTACGATATTCTATAAGCAGTTTTATAAGATTACTTTAATCGTCTTAGTAAACTGATGCTGATGCTGATCCGAATTCTGTAGAGATGGAATTGTTTTAAAAGCAAAGATTACTGCCCAGTCCAAATTGAAATTATCTTGTATTGCTCGCATGAAAGCAGTAAGCGATATAGTTAATAAATAAAAAAAAAGTACAACGATTATTATAAGATATTTAGCTTTTTATTTCATTTTTTTTTTTTTTTTTTTTTTTTTTTTGTTTTTTTTTTGTTGCTAATTCCGGTCATTTACCTTACGAAGACAAGATAAAGTTCTACCGAGTTACTTAGAATAATATTTCGTTCGCCTATTAATCACTTACGGCCTCAGCTTCCTTGTACGCAGCGGCAAGTTCCTCGCGCTCGTTCTCCAGGCGGCGAAGTTCCAACTCAAGTTCGTGAAGTCGGCGGTTCATGTCGGCCAGCTGGTTCTTAGCATCGCTAAGATCGTCTACGGAGATAAGGGTATTTTTAAATAAAGTGCGATAAATGTGTAAATTCATTATAAAAGGCAAGCTATTTTACAAATAAGACGCAGCTTATTTCCGAATTATTAAAAAAAATCAGATTTTTTATCCTTGGAGTTTACGATCGAGCTCTAAAAACGTTATACTTTGAAACTAAAAGCTCCAATTTATCATTATAAGCGTTGCAATAAAATCACTGTCAATATCAAACGAACATTTATATATAAATCAAATCACTATGAATTTGAATTTTTTGAAACTTTCGTTCGGGCCGCGTGAATCATTTGGTCAATCCGTGGCAATGATGGCACAAGCCCGGCCTCTTCCCATACTTTAACGAAGCGATATGGCGGTGGTTAGAGCGAATTGGGCGGGAGGATGGGAAAGGGGATGGCGCGTACCACTGAGCTTCTTATTCTCTCGTGCCAGCTGATCTTTGAGCTCGCGGGTCTTGTCGAGCTCGGCATTGGTGCGTTGGAGTTCCTGCTGCTTGTTGCGCAGATCGCGCTGACTGACCTCGTAGAGGTTGATGGTTTCATCGAGACGGGACTTAAGCTCGATATTGGCCTTCTCCAGATGCTCCACGCGTTTCTGCAGCTCCCGAGCCGTTGCATTGGCCTTCCCAGCAACAAGACAATATTATCAATTATAATACCGAGAAATTGGCATTTGCAGTAATTGTAGTAAGCGCGCGACGTTTGCACTGCGTTTCAACGGACTTTATCGGCGATCGGGTGTAAGGTAGGAACTGTCAGTTTGTAATTTCATTTTAATTATGGCTTTATGAAGTTGAGCTACGCGAATCGCGTATTTTTTATGCAATAAGGCAATTTGCATTAGAAAGAAATTGTAAGAAATTCGCTTTAAAGACTCGGTTTTGGTAATTTGACTGTCGAGAAAGCATGTAATGTAAAATCAGTTCATAATCACCTTCTCTAAGTCAATGATAAGCACTTCGACTTCGGATTGCAGGCGAGACTTTTGCTTTTCGAGGTTATTGATCTTGACCAGCAGGTTCTCGATCTGTTCCTCTTGCTCCTGGATACGCGCGCTGTATTTCCTGCGCAATTCCTCAACCTGTGCATCCAGTACATTGATTATAACCTCGTAACGACGATCGCTAATTTACACGATCATTAATTGAAAATCGTGATCAATTGCTCACCTCTTCGGCGCGTGCGTTAGCTTCGGTCTCGTACTTGGATCTCCAGATCGAGACTTCGCCATTGGCCTTCACCAGTTGACGCTCCAATTCCAAACGAGCCTCCGACTCTTCTTCCAATTGCACGCGTACGGATTCAATTTCCACTTCCACCTAAGAAAGCCAATGACAAAGATTGTTACTTGTGTTTTTCATGGACCACCGACGCTTATTTATAGCAATTTTCAGCTCCTTATCGAATTATAATAAATAGCTGATAGAGTCTTCAATATCGTGTGATTTTGTAGCTTTGCTCACCAAACTTTAGAGATCTTTGTGCTATCGAGTTAAATTTCTTATTGGCTCGAAGTATAACGAAGGACTTAATTTCACCATAATATATGATAATAATTTACTATAATAGAAATATTAAAGATTTAATAATACATGTGTCGCAGGACAATGCAAAACAATCGAATTTTATCACTAAATCAAGTTCACACATCTTAAGCTTATAATTACAAAAGTAAATCTCACATTACCCGAAGTTACTTGAATTTTAGCATAAAATTGAAATATCAACGTTAAGTAATTGCAACGATAATTTAAATTTTTTACACGGAACGAGAGACGACTAGTATACAAAAATTTCTTCTCATTACCTTAGTTATTTAGGTATCGATTTCTTACCTGATGAAGAGAAGCTTCAACCAGAGATCGACGCCTTTCTTCATCTTCCAGTCGACGACGAGCGTCTTCGAGCTGACCAATCACTTGTGATTTCAGGTAAGTGATGTTTTCGATATTAACCTGGGAAGAAAATTTATTATTATCAATAAGCCTTGCGATTATTCATACAAATTATTCTAGCACTACTTTCTTTTCCTTTCTATATTCAAATTGTCATGCACATTCAATATATATATATATATATATCTTTCGCGTTGTTATATACCAATTTCCTAAAAAACTCATGTCAACATAATACGTATTGTAATATTATTGTAATCTTAATATAAAATTCACGAATAAGTGCAAATTGAATAAATATTTTCAAACACTTTGATTTCTCAAGCATAGCGTTACTCGATTTATTTTGCCTCTACATTTTAATCACATTCCAAGATTGTTTAGAAATTATAAAAAGATATAGAGACAGAAGGGAACACTTAAGTGGTTAATCGCATCTTCACGACGATGATAATTACCTTCAAGTCCTGAACTTCCTTCACCAGTTCAATGTTTTCTTGCGACAAACGGGCCTTGTGGCTGGTAATGTCAACGATGGTACGGTTAATTTCTTCGATTTTGACATTGAGCTCGGATACGTGAAACTCTAATTTCTCAACAGTTTTTATCGACAATAGCTTTTCCTTCGTAACACTGTCCAGCTGGGCGAGGAGCTCGTATACCTCCTGCTGGAATTTTGATTTTTCCTTGTCGGCTCTGCAGAGAAGAATAAATACTTTTTTTAGTAATTTGTACGTTTAGTGACCAACTGTTGGTTATTCTACAGAATATTGTGATATCAACGACGATGATATCAATACTCTAACTTATTTTCATAAATTAATATTTATCTTAAGCCTATAATAAT